GAGATGAAGATGGGAATCCTTGATTATGTCACATGCAGCAGTTCTGTGATGCTCAATACATTGCACATGACAATTACTTTGTAACTACATAAGAAAAGAGCAAAAAGCTGGATTTCTTTCTGCAATGTGGTGCCACTATGTCTGATTATTACTACTATTATTAAATTTCAGCGAGTCATTTCAGTAAATTGTCTCTCTGATATCCTCGTTATCCCTGTTGTCTGACAAGAATTGTGGAAGTGATAAGATGTAATGTCATCTCAATCACGTATTACAGATGGATGACACTCCCAGATAATCATAAAATAGAGTGTACACTTGGTGACAGCAGAAAGGGAGAACTGTAAGCAATATCCTCTGATAAACCATAAAATAAAATGATATGTTCAGTCGTATGACAATTATTCCCTCTGAGTTATAGACTACAGATCGTCCACCCTTGAACAGAGTAAAGTGTTTAAACGGTTCTAAAGAACTGTGATGAGAATGAAGCACACACATATGCACTGCAGGGGAGGGATTTATGTGAATTATTAAAGTTGCCAATTAGACCAGCTGACATTTAGATCAAAAACACCATGACACCAGCTTTTAGCAAGTCCGCTCTCTCTCTCTCTTTCTCTCTCTCTCTCTCTCCCTCTTTCTCACACACATGCACATATTCACAGCCAACCTTGCAAAGGGCACCAAAGTTAGCACTGCTCTCTAATAAATGAATTACCACAGGAAAAGGTCAAACCAAGTGGCCAAAGAACAGTGAATGATAGTGTATGAATGGTCACTTATATTTCATACTTGACATTTCACATATATGTCAAAGGAAAGGCTCTTCTTTCTTATTTTGCCAATAGACTGTAGCGTGTAGCTGAGGAAAGGCAAAAAATTCCATTTGACTTGTTTTTTCTTAATATTTTTTTTCAACTTTTGCCAGAAAAAAGGAATTTTCCAAAACCAGAGACCTTCCTGCTCCTTTAAATCTAAGTAATTATCAAATGGTATGTGTAAAAAAAAACAAAGCGTCCTTCTGTTTCCAATTTTAACAGGTGTCTAGCAGTATTTTAGTTTCATATTTAGTATACAAACATCACGATGGTACATTTTCATTTACATTTTGTTGTAATAAAGCAATAGATGTATAGTAGATTAAACTTTTACTCTGAAAAGAGGGTTTTGTATTTGAATACTGACATCTGTTACACAGGCTTTTTAAATTCAAAAAGCACTTACCGTGGTGGGGAGTCAGGATACACACTGTTTATCTGAGACTCTCTGTATGAGTCAAAGTCTAAACCAGGAGGAAAGTCTTCCAAGCAGCTAGACCTCAGTTCACCTGCTGAACCTCCATAAGAAAAACTGTCTTGTCCTGTGGAGACACAAAAATCAACTTCATGCTGTGCTAGAATCAGACTTTTGTCATCTGGGGACATTCAGTTACTTCAGCGTGATGGACTAAGGTTTATTTGAACCTATTATGTGATGCTCTTCTACATGGCATCTCATCTCATACTCCAGCTGCGCTTTACATATCAGCACCTACTGTATTTAGAGCCGACTTTTTCATATTTCAGTCTGGTATCATGTCCTGATCCTCACCGTAATTAACCCCAAACCTAACCAACCAATTTACGTCAATTTACGTATTAACTTAATGTCTTACGATGCTGTATTTACATTCCAATGGGCGTCCGAAAAGCTACCAAAAAAGGAAGTTCTAGAATATGTCAAAGTGTGTCACAGACTGACCATAGCTTGCTCGAAGGTGAGGGTTTCGGAGTCGACTGTCTTTGCGCAAGCTGCCGACGATGATGGTGATGCATGAGAGGAAGAGGACTAGACCTATAACGATCCCCGCCACCACCAGCGGAGACACCAGGAGAGATGCCTCCCCTCCTGACTCCCTCTCACTCCGGCAGTCTGGGTACTCCCCATGGCTCTGGTTGGAGCTCACTGTAGGGAAACAGAGAGAGATGGAGATCAGGGTGGAGTGTGTGATTCAGTGTGTTGAATGTTCCCATTAAAATGATTTTAACTACTTTAAAAAAATAACTGAGGTTTGAGGGAGTGCACCCTTAAAGTTAAATATTAAACTGTTTCCAAAAAGCCAACAAAATAATGAAAAAATGAAAAAAACAATAAAACTTGATAGTCAACACTAAAGAAAATGTAAAAAGCTAATTTCCAAGAATTATGAAGTGTGGGCTTAATAGTTTTCCATTTCTGTTTCATTAATAAATACTCATAGACATACAGCAAATGGTACAATTTCCCCACATCTATCACAAAGAGCAAAACAGTCTTCTGGTGCTATCTGTCCATCTGAACATTAAACATGTATCCAACTTGGTGTTGTGAAGCTGGAGTTGTGAAGCTGGAGTTGTGAAGCCAGTATAACCCAATGACACATTTCTCAAAATCAGTCATCACAAGCTGCACTGCTGAAACACTTTCAGCTGTCATCTCTTGCACTATCCGCCTCCTAATCCGTCATAAATGGCATCCATCTCTTTTGTGAATCAATGAATCAATTCAGGGTCAAAGGAACTGGAGCTAATCCCAAATGTTGTGGGGTGAAAAGCAGGGTACACCTTAAACGTGTCACTAGAGCATTACAAGGCTAACACTGAAAAAGACATCTACGTATTTATGGCACAGAATTGCCAAGAATCACCAATTAATCCAACATTCATGTCTTTCCATTGTGGGTAGAATCCATAGTTTCCAGATGAAACCATTGTCCTGTACCTATAGGTGTAATGAGCTGCAGCGCAGCTGGATGTTACAGTCATGTCAAACATCCCATGGCTTGTAGAACCACCTTAAGCAGCAATCATTTTCCCTATGACTTTATCAGTTTCTCACATCACTGTGGAGGAATTTTGACCCACTCTCTTTTACAGTGATGCACTGGTTTATTGAAGTTTTTGACATTCGTTTGTACACAGCTCTCTTAAGGTTCTACCAGACCATTTCAATCAGATTGAGGTCTGAACTTTAACTGGACCATTACAACACCTTCTTTTTCAGCCATTTCGTTGTAGATTTGCTGCTTTGCTTGGAGTCATTGTCCTGTTGCCTGATCCAATTTTGTCTGACAAATT